TACAAGACTTTTTAAGTAATTTGCTATAGGAGGTGGCATGTTCATCTATGGTACATGTATACTTAACCAAAATATGATAATTTATATTGGCAATTGGGTTATGTATATATATAATTGGCATGTTATTAGAATATTGCTATTTGATACCGTGAAAATTAAAAATTATAATTGAATGAAATTATATCATATGCAAAACAGGCTATTATTTGAACTTGGAATTATTTTGAATTATGGAATTTGCATTATTTCTTGTGCTTGAAATTTTTAATGAATTCCATGTTTATTCTGTATTATAATGTTCTGTGCTGAGCACAACACTTTCTATTACAAAGGTGATAGCACATTTTCAATAGAATGTACTGTGCCGCGCACAACACTATCTATACAAAATACATTGTGTGGAAAGTGTTATGCACCGCTCAAAACATAATAATACTTAATAAACATCGAATTTATCAAAAATTTCAAACACATGAAATTATGCAAATTCCATAATTAAAAATAATTCCAAGTTCAAATAATAGCCTGTTGCAATCATTATGAAATTTATCATTCCTCATGAAAATTTCACCAGAGGGCAATTAAAATAATTAGGAATAAATTATAACATAGGACTTTTTTTGTAGGAACAGACCCTCTATAAAGAGCTGAATGTGACTCTTTATTTAAACTTTAATAAAGTTTCAAAAAGATTTTCATTTGTTTGAAATTTTAAATGACTTTTGAGTGTTTACTTTAATGCTTTAGGGCTTTCTCATGTCTTCATTTATTATAGTATAAGTAATTTTGTGTAATTTGTGTCAATATAATCCACATAAGATGTTTACTTAATGTTTAAACAGGCCATATTATTAAACAGACTCTATTGATTACAGACTTTTGAACATGGCATGATGCTGTATATATTTATTGAAGACTTTTAAGCATTGTTGTGTCAGGTTAAACATGTAGTAAAGTGATATAAAACTTTCACTCAGATAATCATTTTATTTTGAAATTTCTACAATTACATGTAAACACCTAATAAAGTTTTCACCTAGAGTTGAGGTGAGATAAGTTATACATGAACATATGCCTTTATATCATGCATTAGAAAATGGATTAATTGCTTGATCATTTTAGTTCAAGGAAAAAAGTCTTAATAAAAACACATTTTAATGCTATGATGTTGAGAAGAATAAGATGCAACATTGCCATGTCCACAAACAATATAATGTTGCTAGATTCTCCTCCATCTGTACAGTAATTATCATAGGAGCTGAGTTCTAGTAACCAATACTATTTATGTTTCTTGATGGTTTAAACTAAATGCTTTAAAACTTTTCATGTGATATATACTTGCTCTTCTTGTGCATACTCACCCCCACTCAGTATAATATACTAGCACACATCGACATACGCTCAAACTTTTTCACAAAACGCATAGTTTAGCTATCAAATAATGTCTCGGTTATCCGACTCTTAATAATACCATACATAATTCTTTGAAATCAGGTCTTTTAACCAGTCATACAGTTTGGTCCATCTATCTCGACATGGATGTCTGAAATAAAAGCCCTATTCATTTGCTTTTGTTTTTTTATGCACCTGTAGTGATTTTGTCTCGTGAATTGATAAAACATATCTTTTCTTTTTGATTCTCCTCAATAAGATTGATATATTGAGAAATAAATGAAATAATTGTAGCTATTTGCTGAAGTTTGAAGTGCACTATGACAGAGAAATACAAAAATCAATGTTATAAATTACAAGTTATCAACCACTGACAAAAGTTGTTTTGGTTAGTTGTGATGTCTGTTTCTATTTGTAATCTAACACTGTTTGCTTCACTAAATCTTAGATAAGGCAAAGGCAATGATATATTAGGTTAACATTAAAAATCACTTTTTTTTTTAATTTAGAAAGCAAAAAAGTAGCTTAAACTTTGATTATTATGAAAACATCCCCCAGTCTTAACTAATTGCTTATCTGTAAGGCCAAAGCAATATATATATCAAGTTGCATTACAACATGGACACATTTTAATTCACTCTCTAAGGCCAAAGAAATATTTTGTGCTATGTTGTATTTAAAGTATTTAAGTAATCACTATGAACTATTACAAAAGTGATCTGATATTATTATATAAATCACTAAATACTTATTCACTGTTTTAGGCCAAAGTAATAAATATGAGCCAATTGGTGAAAGTATTACAACACATATTTTCATTCAGTGCCTTAAAGGCAATATTAGGTATTGGGTTATATTATTTCACCACTTAATAATTTTAGTTCACTGTCTAAGGACAAAGCAATATATTATATGTAATGAAAGACTGAAGGCTGCATAACATCTAAACTACATGCTGTTAAAAATTTCAGAAATAAAAAGATTATGAAATGATAACCACATTTAAAGGTAAACAATCAAAAACAAAAACAACAAATAACAAGTCTGCAAATCACTACACAGGTAATTAAAGATTGAACAAGAATTAATATAGTCAGAATACACAAACATGACACACATAAGTAGGAGACAGGTGTACATACAACACATCAGAACACACAAACATGACACACATAAGTAGGAGACAGGTGTACATACAACACATCAGAATACACAAACATGACACACATAAGTAGGAGACAGGTGTACATACAACACATCAGAATACACAACCATGACACACATAAGTAGGAGACAGGTGTACATACAACACAAGACAAGACATATACTTATAGACAGGTGTACATACAACACAAGACAAGACATATATACTTATAGACAGGTGTACATACAACACAAGACAAGACATATATACTTATAGACAGGTGTACATACAACACAAGACAAGACATATATACTTATAGACAGGTGTACATACAACACAAGACAAGACATATATACTTATAGACAGGTGTACATACAACACAAGACAAGACATATACTTTAGACAGTTTTACATACAACACAAGACAAGACACATACTTATAGACAGGTGTACATACAACACAAGACAAGACACATACTTATGGACAGGTGTACATACAACACAAGACAAGACATATATTTATAGACAGGTGTACATACAACACAAGACAAGACATATATACTTATAGACAGGTGTACATACAACACAAGACAAGACATATATACTTATAGACAGGTGTACATACAACACAAGACAAGACATATACTTATAGACAGGTGTACATACAACCCAAGACAAGGCACATACTTATAAGACAGGTGTACATACAACACAAGACAAGACATATACTTATAGACAGGTGTACATACAACACAAGACAAGACACATACTTATAGACAGGTGTACATACAACACAAGACAAGACATACATACTTATAGACAGGTGTACATACAACACAAGACAAGACATATATACTTATAGACAGGTGTACATACAACACAAGACAAGACATATACTTATAGTGAAGACTAAAATCAAAAACACATCCATTTCAACTTAAAACAAAGGAGAAATTTAAGATACCAAAGTGATATTCAAACTCAGTAGTCCAAGACTGACGACACAGTGGCAAAAAACGAAAAAATGATCAAGAGACAAACTACAGTCTACAAATCACAACAAAAAATAAATCACTATTAAATGCTCTGGAAAGGTATTCACATATTGCTTCCATTACACATTGGATTGTTATTGACCAGTGGTCATCTAGGGGAAATAGAAAAGGCTAGTGTATCCTGCTTTACAAATGACTTTTGGAGAGTTGTTTCATTGGCAATTATATCTTCTTATTTTTATACGACCGCAAAAAATTTTGTGGTCGTATATAGGTATGACGTTGGCGTCGTTGTCGACGTCGTCCGAAGACACATTGGTTTTCGCACTCTAACTTTAGTTTAAGTGAATGGTTCTCTATGAAATTTTACCATAAGGTTCAATACCACAAAAGGAAGGTTGGGATTGATTTTGGGGGTTATGGTACCAACAGTTAAGGAATTTGGGGCCAAAAAGGGGCCAAAAATAAGCATAACTTCCAGACATAACTTATGTGTTAGTGTATGGATCTCTCTGACATTGTACCACAAGTTTCCATATCACAAAGGGAATGCTGGGATTGATTTTGGGGGTAATTGCCTCCAACTATTAGGAATTGGGGGCCAAAAAAGGGGCAAAAAACAAGCATTTTTTCTTGTTTCATGACAATAAATTGTGTGTAAGTGCATGGATCTTTTTGAAATTGTACTACAAGGTTCCATATCACAAAGGGAAAGCTGGGATTGATTTTAGGGGTAATTGCCTCAAAATTTTAGGAATTAGGGACCAAAAAGGGGCAAAAAACAAGCATTTTTCTAGTTTCAGGACAATAACTTGTGTGTAAGTGTATGGTTCTTTATGAAATTGTACTACAAGGTTCCATATCATAAAGGGAAAGCTGGGTTTGAGTTTGGGGGTAATTGCCCTAAACGTTAAGGAATAAGGGGCCAAAAAGGGGCCAACAATAAGCATTTTTCTAGTTTCCAGACAATAACTTTTGTTCAAGTGTATGGATCTCTCTGAAATTGTACTACAAGGTTCCATATCACAAAGGGAAAGCTGGGATTGAGTTTGGGGGTGATGAATCATAAGGGGGTTCAAAAAATTTGGGGGGGGGGGATTTTTTTTTCCTTTTTTTTCTTTAAAATTTTCCATTTTAAACTGGTTATTTCTGATTTATATATAAAAGCAAATAATGATGATATGGTTTGAATAGGTAAATTAAAATTTTTTAAGTTCTTAGACCACATTCATTCTGTGTCAGAAACCTATGCTGTGTCAAATATTTAATCACAATCCAAATTCAGAGCTGTATCAAGCTTGAATGTTGTGTCCATACTTGCCCCAACTGTTCAGGGTTCGACCTCTTCGGTCGTATCAAGCTGCGCCCAGTGGAGCATTTTATTATATTGGTAGCTATATTCTTGGTAATAGTTCTTTAGTTAATGTTTATCACTTTATTTGACTATGTTATTCTGTTATAAATTTTAGGTCCCACGATGGCTTTACAGAAGATTCTGATGGTATACTTGTTGATAAACCTGGTTCTAAGTATGCTAGTCAACGTCGTGTGTTTGAAGATCTGGGACAAGGAGTATTAGACAATGCTTTTGAAGGTGAGAGATAAAGATCTATATTAGCATGACCAAAAACTGAAGCTTATTATTTACACTGGGCATGAAGTATTGCTATATATTGTTCCACTGACTGATTACTTAAATTCATAGATTATACAAAGATACATAAAACAAAGCATTACTGAGGCTGCTTTAGTTGACCAACTATTGAAAAAGTTTATCAGCTTCTTTTCATATATGTGGGGGACATTTTCATAATACATCATAGATTTGTAATTTGTCTCTGTGTGTATGTGTTATTCTCTATAACATTTTTTTATATTCTGTAGTTGAATATAGATTATAAGATATATTTTTGCACCTCATGTTTGCGGTATACCATCTTTTCCACAAGTTTATTGTTTTTCTGTTTGGTATTAAATTGATAATTAGATCCATTTTGTTACATCTTGTGATACGTTTATTTGGCAATTGCCATGGCAGTCAGCAGGGTTTAAGAACATCAGTTGCTCGACCTGTTGGTCAAATGTGTTTTGTTGAAATATACTTTTTCACTTTTTGGTCTTTTGGAAAATGTTGTTTGTGCTGTATTTAGACTCCTCTACCAAGAAATTTGTTTTGCATGCACACGTATAAAAATTGTGGTTTTTATACAACGCAATCATAGGTTTTCAATTTAGACTTGTTTATAAGATATATATATATTTTCTATTTTGATAATTTTAGACTTGGGATAATTCAGAGTCTAACATAACTTATAACTCTTATCTGCAAACTTTTCTACTCAATTTTACTCCACACTTTTATTGTCATCATAAGGAAGATTAATTTTAAAGTGCTTTGATACAATGTGTCTATAGTGGTTTCATATTTTCCAACTTTTCTACTCCTGATGATATTTCCTTCAGGTTTACTCCCCGCCTTGCTTTATTGTCATTGTAAGGTAGTGATTTACTGTTATATGGAAATGTTTAATAGTATTTTGATTCAAAAGAATTATATCTTCCTTAGTAATACTAATAAACATTGTTAATTATTAATTTATTCTCATTTATTGGTGTGAAAAACCAATCAATATTCATATCCTTCATAAAAATCTATAACTGCGACCTCAGCTGATATTACAGCGTCACAGGTTTTTCACGTTTAAATATTGGCTTTAAATAGTCCTGGAATTCATTTCTCATTGATTTTATTATATTGAAATATATTTTTGTTGTCTGAAACAGCATTGATTTTTAAACTGAACAGCTTAGTTAGACAATAGAAAGTTTGTAAGAGAAAGCTCTTTCAATATCTTTTCAAGCCAAGTTGTATATTGTTGTTGTTACGATGGCAGTTTTATCTCACTTGAAATGTTAGTAGTATTGAATATCAAATTTGAAACTTTTAATGATACAAAACAAAGAAATTCTGTTATCAATCAAATCTGTTCACATTTCTTTATTTTATTTAGAAATAGTATAGATGCTATAGGTAGCAAATTAGACCGGGATCTGTAATGTTACTTCTGTTTCATAAACTAAATAAGTTTATATAAGGACTGTTTTTAACTACACAACAATAAAATACAAGATATGTATACAAGCAAGATGTTTTTACCTTTTTGATTTAGTTTACATGAATGTTCTGAGCTTCAGTGAGGAGCTTCATATATATCAATGCCATTGTTGTAGAAGCTCATTACTTGAGTACTAGATATTACTGACTGATTACATTTAGTGGGATATTTCCTTTGGATGTTAGCAATTGACATGTGGACAGTTATTTAAAAATAGAATGTCTGCTGTTGGCATTTGCTTTTGTTATTAAATGTCTATGGTTGTTATATTGACAGGTGTTTGTAATTGAATGTCTGATGTTTACATGTAGACAGGTGTTTGTAATTGAATGTCTGTTGTTTACATGTAGACAGGTGTTTGTAATTGAATGTCTGTTGTTTACATGTAGACAGGTGTTTGTAATTGAATATCTGTTGTTTACATGTAGACAGGTGTTTGTGATTGAATGTCTGCCGTTTACATGTAGACAGGTGTTTGTGATTGAATGTCTGTTGTTTACATGTAGACAGGTGTTTGTGATTGAATGTCTGCCGTTTACATGTAGACAGGTGTTTGTAATTGAATGTCTGTTGTTTACATGTAGACAGATGTTTGTGATTAAATGTCTGTTGTTTACATGTAGACAGGTGTTTGTGATTGAATGTCTGCCGTTTACATGTAGACAGGTGTTTGTGATTGAATGTCTGTTGTTTACATGTAGACAGGTGTTTATAATTGAATGTCTGTTGTTTACATGTAGACAGGTGTTTGTAATTGAATGTCTGTTGTTTACATGTAGACAGATGTTTGTGATTGAATGTCTGTTGTTTACATGTAGACAGGTGTTTGTGATTGAATGTCTGCCATTTACATGTAGACAGGTGTTTGTGATTGAATGTCTGCCTTTTACATGTAGACAGGTGTTTGTGATTGAATGTCTGTTGTTTACATGTAGACAGGTGTTTGTGATTGAATGTCTGCTGTTTACATGTAGACAGGTGTTTGTGATTGAATGTCTGTTGTTTACATGTAGACAGGTGTTTGTGATTGAATGTCTGCTGTTTACATGTAGACAGGTGTTTGTGATTGAATATCTGCTGTTTACCAGTAGACAGGTGTTTGTGATTGAATATCTGCTGTTTACAAGTAGACAGTTGTTTTGATTGAATATCTGCTGTTTACATGTCAGCTGTTGACATGTCAGCTGTTGACATGTTGACAGTTGTTTGTGATTGAATTTCGGCTGTTGACCCGTTGACAGTTGTTTGTGATTGAATGTCTGTTGTTGACATGTTGATAGTTACATTGTAATTGCATTTCTTCTGTTGACATGTTGACCGTTGTTTCTGATTGAATATTTGCTGATGACACATTGACAGTTGTTTGTTATTGAATATTTGCTTTTGGCATGTTGACAGTTGTTTGTGATTGAAAATCTGATGTTGACATATTGACATTTGTTTGTGATTGAAAAACTGCTGGTGAAAGATTGACAGTTGTTTGTAATTGAATATCTGCTATTGACAAGTTGACAGTTGTCTATGATTGAATATTTGCTGTTGACATGTTGACAATTGTTTATGATTGAATATTTGCTGTTGACATGTTGACAGTTATTAATGATTGAATATTTGCTGTTGACATGTTGACTGTTGTTTGTGATTGAATGTGAGCTGTTGACAGTTGTTTGTGATTAAATGGTGGTTGTTGACAGTTGTTTGGGATTGAATATCTGCTGTTGACAGTTGTTTGGGATTGAATATTTGCTGTTGACACGTTGACAGTTGTTTGTGATTGAAAATCTGCTGTTGAAACATTGACAGTTGTTTGGAATTGAATGTCTGCTGTTGCCATGTTTACAGTTTTTTGTTATTGAATGTTTGCTGTTGACTGATGTTTATAATTGAATATCTGCTGTTGACACATTGACAGTTGTTTATGATTGAATATCTGCTGTTGACATGTTGGCAATCGTTTATGATTGAATATTTACTGATGACGTGTTGACTGTTGTTTGTGATTGAATGTAGGCTGTTAATTAACAGTTGTTAGTGATTGAGTGTTGGTTGTTGACCATCTACATCGTCTGATCTACTAAGTACCAAAAGTGACTTATTCCTGAATATGACTGTTTTTGGGAGTGTGAATTTGCATTGCTATTAGACGTGTCTTGTTATTTATACATCCAACATGGTTAGAAAATACAAATAATTGCACCATTAATCAAAATTCTATATTTATATTCTTGTAATGGTTAGAAAATACATAAAATAACACCATTATAAACTTAATCCCAATTTTATATTTTATTTTAAGAAATTTACCTGTGACGTCATTTTTTGTGGCATTGATACATCATGACACACAGTTCATAATTCTATTGTGCTGTACTTGTGTACTGTCGTAAATTAATTTGAGGTGTTTGTTGTTATTCTGTGGTTTACATGTTGTAATGTACTATTATATTATTTATTTATGTATTTCTCTGTTCTTGTGTTTATTTGTACTGTATTCCTGTCATGTAATGTTTTCATTTTAGCGGTATTTTTAACATTGCCATATAAGCAGGAGATTTGGCTAGCATTAAAACCACTTCAACCCACCATTTTTTCTTAAAATGTCCTGTACCAAGTCAGGAATATGGCAGTTGTTATCAAATAGTCTGTTTCTATGTATGTTGGCATTTGTTTTTGTAGCAGTTCAGTGTTTCTGTTGTTCCATTGTTTTTCTCTTATAGTTGATGTGTTTTCCTCGGTTTTTGTTTGTGACCCCGATTTTTTTCAGTTAAATCCATTTATGACTATTGAACAGCGGTATACTTGTATTGCCTTTATTGTTGACAGTTGTTTGTAATTGAATATCTGCTGTTTACATGTTTACAGGTGTTTGTGATTGAATGTCAGCTGTTGAAAGTTTAATGACTATAAACCCTGGAGCACTGGAGTTTTTTCTACATTGTGTTGTCTGTCTTTATCATACTGTTTTGATATTTTATTCCTTTTATCTAAACCTTAGAAATAGATTCCTGTTTTGATTGCCACAATTGATATATTATATTATCTGTCTTTGTTTTTCTATGTTGTGTTTTGTATACTGTTTTTCGTCTTTTGATCTATTTCTTTTTTAGCCATGCCGTTGTCAGTTTTTTTTTTTGGACTTATGAGTTTGAATGTCCCTTTGGTATCTTTTGCCTCTCTTTTATAAATATGTAATATCAGATTTTGTAATATTATATATTATCAAATTTAGATAATCTACTTTTATGATTCATGTGATTGTTTTTTGGAAATAGATATGCTAAGTGGGTGTTTTCAAAATATAAATAAAATAGGGTAACAGTATTATATTGTACATTTTTACTTATAAAATGTTTAATATCTACATGACTATCATTATATCAACGTTATGGCATGGATCTTTTTAGGTTGCCTAGTCCCAATCCACAGTTTGTCATTTTTATCAATACTTAGACTGAAAGGATATTGTATACCTAAATCT